ATAAATTATGTAAATAAATAATTTCATTAATCAATGAATTTAAATAATTTAAATAAATATTTGAATTAGGGCGGGGCAAAACCCGCCCGAACCCGCGTAACCCGCCCAACCCGACCCAAACCGACCGGTTTGGGTCGGTTTGAAGTATTTTTTGGTGGGTTTCGGGTATGGGGATGGTTTATTTGGGTCGGGTTGCGGGTCGATCGAAAAAACCCGGTACAACCCACCCAACCCGACCCGCCTATATTTAAAAAAAAAATGATAACAAATTAACAATTCACAAAAGGGCAAAAAGCCCTAAACTCCCACAAACACAAGACAAATCACGAATCACGATCTCTCATTCTCTCATCTTCATTCGCGAAGCGGTAGCCCTAACGCCGACAACAATTGGCGATCTTCGTTTAACCTTGCCGTTGCCGGTCGTCGTTTTGTCCGAAGACTCCAAACTGCTGTGCTGGCCTGCTGGGTAAGTTTATTTCCCTATTTTGTATACCCATTTCTTTCTCCTGTCAATCTGTCATCATATTTTCTCTGCTTCTCATGGCTTGACTCTTGAGACTTGAGAGCTCATCTAGCCTTGGCCCTTTGTCCACAAAATTGCTGGAATCGTTGAAACTTGAACAACCTCACGCCCTATCGTTTTGCTGCAACTTGTACTGCAACAGTATGCCCATTATCCTAATGAGTTATTCTTTTGTTGATGATGGTAAGGTGCTGCCCTGATCCCGTGTTAAAGCATAAGATTTACAATTCTACAAACTGTGCAAATTTTTGTGAAGTAACCACAGCGTTCTTTCTATTTTTTTTTCCTGCCATTGTTCTGTTGCTCATTCCACCAGTCTTTAATTAAAATAAAACTAGAATGTGTCCAAAGAAGCAGAATGCCATATGTGCCAAATTGCCAATTGCATTAGCATAATAGAGTTTACTAGAAGTATTCATGTGAACAGGGAAATGTCTGATTTTATGAAGATTCTTTTCGTTCTTCTAATTATAATTGTTTGTATTCAGTTTTAAGAAAGTGCAAAAATTTCCACCTGGAATTTCTATTCCTGTTATTTATCCTATTCTCATTTGATGCCTATGAAGATATAGTGATCCAGATAATTTTTGTAAAAGAGAATATGTTTAGCTCTTCTACTGCTAAAAAGATGTGGTGTCTTCAATGAAAAAAAAAAAGAAAAGCATATCGATTTGGAGCCCCGACTTCGCATGATAACATCGTTTGCAAGAAAAAAAAAGATGATGTCTGTCTCTTCCATTTAGTAGATATATTTCTGAGAAACTATGTGATCTCATCAGTAGGACACTTTCATTTTTTGGTCTTGTACTCTTATGATGTGATTTGTTGTCT